AGAAAGAGAGAGAGAGAGAGAGAGAGAGAGAGAGAGAGAGAGAGAGAGAGAGAGAGAGAGAGAGAGAGAGAGAGAGTATGCTTGCCTGCAGTGTGAGTACGTTTGTCAATCCGACTGCGTGTTTGCCTTGAGTGTGTGTGCGCGATCGTAAACTTAAGCGTGGGGGTTACGTTTGGTGTGACTCGTAAAGGTCCGTGCTTGTTCGACAGGCCATCAGGCCGGGTACTTACCTATTGTCGTGACTTGCAGGGATTGCATTATGTAAATTTTGGTTTCCCTGCTGTACATAATCTTCTTCTTCTTATAATTCTCGATCTCTCATTTGAAGTTCATTTATTTTTTTTTGCAATTGTATGTCATTGTACCATTGAGTCGGTAATATATTTTACTATAATTCCCATATTTACGATCTCTTTGTATGGGTCCCACATGTGTGTAAACATTCCAAACAACTTCTAAATAATGAGCTAAAAGTTTCACAGAATCTTCGTCAAAACCATCAGTACATAAGACTCCCTTTCGCCCTAGTGAAATAATTGACCCATCATCTAACCACCAGATAGCTAATGACAACGGTGTAAGATGATTCAACCATCGACGTCGAATAGCTAATTTATTTTTGTCATGTGTTATTTTATGAATTTCTGTTAGTTGAGGGAGAGCACGACTTTGAAATAACAATTTTGTATTTTGACTATAACCACTTTTTAGTCTGAGCAATTCTAATCCTCGCTCTCGCCACTCAACTTCATTCATTTACTGTTGCAACTGGATGTCATTACAATATTGGATCAACGTGAAAATCTGAATTGGTTCGGCTATATAATGTGCGATCCAACTGTTGCCTAAGTGCGTAAGCATGTGAAGTATGGATGTATGTGTAACTCGACATTGGTCCAATAATATCTATACGCAGAGGAGGAAAACAAAAACAAAAATAATCAAACACAAGACATGAGATACCATCAGATGTGTGAGAAATATATATATATATATATATATCACTTGGTTGTCTTACAATTTTTTCCGGCGCTCACACACAGACATTCTCAAACACGGCCACACATGCATAAGAACAGGGGAAGACGATTTTGTTTTTTAAAACACCTAACCACCCATACAATATAAACCACGCCCACACATGCATAACAAGAGGGGGAGAGGTGACAGAGTCAATCACGCACACAGACAAGGATCAGCAGCGAAATTCTACCATGCACACATCGACGAGGTCACACAATGACTCTCACTCTCCGATAGACTCCCAATAAACAATCACAATAAAGAACCTCAGCAAAATCACAATTGATAGAGAGAGAGATAATGAGCCAACTCGAATGAATATCATAACACAGTTTGTTACAGTCGCTTCGTCCCCAATCGATTTCCCTCATTCCACTAATAGAATACAGTACTCTAACCTACACGTAGACCGGACTGACTAATCGACCAATACCATTGCAGTTTCGCTCTCTCGGCCTCTACCGGACCCGACTATAGGCTATAGGACCGTCCATCAGATCTGGCCATTAGGGCCTGTCTGTCTTGGGGGTAGTCCGGACCTGCTATTCGCAGTAAGTGTACGTATAGGAAATTCGAAATAATGCTGGGCCTATATTTCCCATATTTACAGATGTGACCCTCATGAATTTTCCTCACAGGTTGGTCTCACGGTTACGCCCGAGTCAAACAAAATTACAAATCTAACCCTACGGGGTAGTATACAGCCTCGCCATCAGTCTTCGCAGTCAGACTGGAAATATATGTATATATATATATATATGTATATATATATATGTATATATATATACAATCAACACGTCAAACTAAAAAGCCGAAAAACATAAAAGTCGCATGTACAAGATACAACGACATAATATGATGTCAGTCATCGAACAACTCGACATCATCTGCGTCCAATAGAGAATCGCGTGATCGATCGGACACGGCATCCGCCGGTCCAGGCAACCCATCCCCGTCGCCAATGATGAAAACATCGTCATCCCCCACAACGTCGGGATCCGCACCTGAAGCAACGTCGTCCTCGTCACGGGCAATGGTATCCTCGCCTCTGCAAAAAAGATCGCGAGGCAGAGGACGTGTCGAGGATCCGACCTCGCCCGACACATCACAGTCATCGTACTCGAGAAGGCGTCGAGCCCAATCTGAAACACATTTTGAACCGAAGATGAACGTGGACAACCGATCCATCCACGAATCGGTAGGTGGCCGATTGTGACGGTAGTGGCTCGACCTTGGACGAATCGAAGTCCCAGAAGGCATGCGGACACGATACTCCAAGGGATCCTGCCATGCATGACTGTTCCATCGAATGACTGCAATCGCCAAACGCGGCTCATACCACTTCTCGAAGTGCAAGGCCTTCTTCGCGTAAATGATGATTGTGCCCTGGAAGGTCTCAACCGTCGACGTGTGACGGAACTCCGTGTAGTACGAACAAACGGTCGTGCTGCAATGCGTGCCCAACGTCTGGCGAATGATGTCATACACGGGGTCATCGTGCGTGTACAGAGGAAGCCGAGATGGGCCACCTGCCTTTAAGCATAAAAGCTCTCTGTCCGCAACGCACCTGGAGTGGTCCTCGACCCAATGGTCGTCGATCATCATGACATCATTGTGCAGAGTGACAAAGTCGCCGCCCTCATCTCTGCAAAGCTGGGAAGCACGAAGAAACCAATGCCCCACCTCATGCATATGAAACTCAGTCACACCATCTGCATCCACGACCAAGGATTTGTTGTTTTTCATCGTGCCGTACGGGTACATTTTGCTTATCACAAGAGCAACGAAGTCGCTCTTCTTCAATCGTTCTTCTTTTGCCATCAAAGACCCTGGTCCATAACGGTCCGTCAAGGCATCCAACAGCTCCTTCTTCGTGAACTGCATAAACTTAGATTCCAACACGCACTGATGAGGGTTGTTCAATTTCTTTGGCACCTTCAGTGTCACGACTTTTCTAATTGCCTTGCGAATGTTTTTTACCTTATGATGGCAATCCTTCTGCCATTCAATACCCAGGCGCTCCAACTGTGGACCCAATGCAGCACAATCGTCGGAGACAACACACCGGATCTTCAACCCCCTCGACAGCAGGCCTCTCAACAGGCGCACAACAGCAGGAACCTCAAGTTGGTTCGACGCCTTTCCCTCATTTTTTGGCCGAAGAGTGTGAACACCCACCACAAGACGAGTATCACACTCATTCGCGGTAATAGTGCAATGCTGCGCAGACCTAGCCGAGTCGTAGCGACCGTCAACCATCAAAGTGACGGGTCTCCCTGATCGCATAACCGTGTCAATGGCCAAGTCGCAATACTGCACGCTCTGCCTGACAACCTTTGCATTCCATCCCTCACGTAGATTCGGCTCACCGCGCATGCAATTGTAAAAAGTGGGCTTGTGCACAGGTGCCACCCCAAACGCGATGCAGAAGTCATTGAGGATGGTATATGTCATACCCGCAGTGACGGTCGCATGGAACAACTGCTGCTGAAGTCTGCAAGAGTACACAGCTCCCCCAACTTGTGCACTGTGCCATGTCCAACGACAGGACTTATCACAAGTGAGCGAAATGCGACAAATCTGTCCAGGATAACCGACAGAGGACACATCCACAGCACAACCGCCCCTGTGGTGCGGGCAACTCAAATCAAACAACCCGAGCAACTGCAACAGCTTCACTGGCTCCACGAAGATGGCATCAGGCGCTTTCGAGCCTTCCCAGTGCCCCATCGATTCCAACACATGTGCAGACCGATTATTGCAAGGTCCGGTTTGCAGAGCACCATCCTTCGAATCGTCCCAGCACAAAGGACGTACATCTTCGAAACGCGAATGCGACCTGCCACGGCTTGGTGGCCGCCCGCGCGATCTGCGGCCACGCTGTGAACCGTGCCCTGAATGCGGTAGTGAATCATCCGACCCACAAAATGACCCGCCATTGCCTCCACCGCTCCCTTCACCCTCACGCTCGCCATCATCCTCAGCGTCCGCTGTCGAATCATCCCCTCCTGCTCCGAGACAAAACACATCTACACGGTTGCCGACCGGTAGTCTTCTCTCGATCCACACCGTTCCCGAACTCAGACCGGATGGCTGGCAATGACCAATGCAAAAGTCGGTCGACGACATCGCTCATGACCCCAGACTTGTCGCTCACTTCTTTCATCGCAGATTGTAAAAGGCGCAGTCTCTCCTTGCAAGCGGTAGTCAGGAACAAACGAGAGTACTTCGCCGAACCAGTTGACTGCGAACCGAATTGGCCCAAAGACCCGCCCGAGTGTTTAGAACGACCCGCACCAAGATTTTGAGCGCCAGGATCGCAACGGTCGGGCCCATCTCCGCTACCACACACATTGTCATCCTCGTCGAACC